ATAAGGTGAAAAATGCTGCAAGAGATTTACACATAAAGCTGGGGTCCTGTAGAGTCATGCCATCTATGTAAAGCAGAATGAGAAATCAAATACCATGCCAATGGGGACAGCAAAGAAACTCACTGCTTCAATGTTGGTGATGAATGAAGAGCAAAAATTTTTATCTTGAGAATTTGTAACCATGAGAAAGACTTCCAGTATGTCTGTGGAGTAAGTTCAGTTAATCTTTTTTCGCCAGAAATCTTTGTAATTTGTCCTTGGTTTTGATGTTTGACTTAGGACAGCTTTCAAATGCTACAATTTCTCTCTCTTCTCTTGCCCTGTTAAACAACAGTAAAACAAACAAACAAACAAAAATTCTGCATTTTTCACCCCTTGGTGCCAATGGGAAGTTCAAATTGTGCAAACCCCAGCCCTCAAGTGGGAACTCTGCCCTACCTCCTAACCGCATTCTTACTTCTAGTCACAGTTCCTTCTTGACACCTGAACCAATGTGCATGTGCCCTCTTCCAGAAGTCTTATGGTGTGAATAATAAACCTTTGCATGTGCTCTTGTTACATGTGAAGTCATCAGTTTTAATGTCTGGACTATTCCATTAGAAAACTCCTTCCCACCCTCCATAGAGTGACTTTAAACACTCACACCTAAAACAACAATGGAATTATAAACTTAAAAAAAATGTTCTGCACTGGAAGCCATTAGTTAGTGGTATACCAGGTCCCATTCATAAGGTTGGTGTGCACAAATGTTGTAACTTCAGCTGCTGGTAGCTGACAGTAGTCCTCTTCTCCAAAGAGCTGGTCATCATTAAATGGGAAAACCCTTGCCTGGGAGATTTGCCCCCTCCGAAAGTAACCCTCAGCCAGTGATTGACTGAAACTGGGGGTAGGGGATATTAACAACTATAAGAAATCTGCAATTTTTACCCTCCTTACAAGCTAAAAAGTTAGCTTGCCACAGTTTTATGAATGTTTGCAAAAGGCACAAATTTCATGATCAAAAACAAAGAATTTTACTACTCACACTACTAGCAATAGCCAGCATACTGATGCTAGTTTCAAGGGCCCCTGTTCCCATAGGGAAACATGAGAAGGGCCAGGTAATAATTGTGCATGAAGTGAATCACGTTAGAGGAGAAGAATCTTGAGCTTAGGGAACAGAATTTTTTATAATAGCCTATAAGCTTACATTACTTTTGACCCAGCTAGAGACAGTACCTTTATAATTCAGGACAGTAAATAAACCTCTCTTTCACTCCAGAAATAGACATTATCTCCAGCTTTCCAGGCTGTTCACTATAAAAACAGTTTTAAAACATAGTCCAGAACACAGGCAGTCAGTGCTTCTGCTCATAAGAAAGAAACACAAGATATCTATAGAAAATTGGCTCCCAATAGATTGTTTTATGTTACTAATTCACCATTATATATTTTGAATTTTTTTATAATAAACAGAAAAATATCAGCAATTAGTATTAATATATAGAGAGTGAGCTCACCAATTCAAACAGTAATAATGATCAGGATGATAAAAATTTCAGCTGTGTACAATTTACAAGTCATACAATATACTAAGGAAACACACATACACATACAAACATTTCCAATAAAATTGTAGAAAAATTTATGCCAGGCAAATATAAGGTTGGGAAAAACTAGGTTTATAGTTGTGAGTACATGAAACAGAGTTAATAAAGCTATTATAATAATCATAACCTGCATGTCTTTTTATATGAACAAGTATAAAACCCACTATTGACCATTTCTGTATTTACCAATAGAAAGCTAGCATTGCTAGAAATAAGAAAAAATTTGGTTTTGCATATAATAATAATGTTTCTAAATTTGTATGCTCTCAGATGGACCCTTGAAATACATTAAAAACACTGATTTTTCAAATGGTGTGCTCTGGCATACTGGTGTGCTGCCAAATACTTTAAAACATGCAACACTTGACTATTTAGTCAGGGGCACTGACCTCTTTTCCTTTGTATTGTAAAAAAAAAAAAATTACAACAGACAACACAACAATAGCCATCCAGTGTGAATGAATAAAAATATTACCTTTTTTTTCCTGTTATATTGGCAAAAACATATATTTTTGGTGTGCTGCAAAATTTTAGTAATTAGTTTATATGTGCCATGAGTTGAAAAAGGCTGAAAATTGTTGAATTTAAAATGAAATTAACAAATATATTAATATAGCAGGAGATGTTAAACACATTTGTCTAAGTAATCGAGAGATATGACAGGCAAAAAATCTCTAAGCATCTGTAAGATTTGAATACAACAGTTAGCAAATTTAATTTAATGGACATAACAATGTACTCAGTGAAAAAAATAGTATGGCACATTTACCCAGTTGTCAGGTACTGAAGAGCAAAGCCAGTACAACAAATTCTAAAGAATTTTTGTCATGCAAATTGCATTCTCTATGATTCTACTGTAAGAAATTAATACCAATAAGATAACTAGAAAAATTCAAAAAGTTTATAGATGTTAGACACATCTTTAAATAATTCATGGCACAAAAAAGGAAAAAAACTCTCATAGTGAATATTAGACTTTATTTTGAAATAAGTGATAATGAAACTATTGCATATCAAATCTTAGGTGATATGACTAAGGCAATTATCAAAGCATAATTTATTAGCTTAAGTTGATAATTTTAGAAAATTTAAAAAGACTGAATATCAATGGACTTGTGACTCAAGCCAAAAATGCAGGAATCATGCAATTTCCTCAATTTCCCTTGAGTTTCATAACCAGTCCATCAGAAACCTTTAAAACTTTCCCCGTATCTCTTAAGTTTTCTCCATGTTCTCTGAACCACTGCAATCCAAGTCACTCTTTTCTCTTGCCTGCAGTACTTCAACATCAATGGTCTTCCTTCTGCCTTGTTACTTTCCTAAAACCCATTTCCCCTGGAGCATTTTCTGTGATCTGTGAAGTATAGGTCAGAGTGTAACTGAGCAGACAGGGGCTCATTCACGTGGTGTCTTGGTGAATGACCCAACAATTAATGTTGGAAGAGACAGGTCTTTATTTACAATATTCCAACCTTGGGGGTTGGGCTCAGAGCACTTATGCTTGGAGCACTCCATTACCACAAGACCCAGCATTTCCCTTGTTTCCCAAAAGACTATAAGCCAAAAGCAAACCCAGTAGTTCCCCATATTCTTATCTTGAGCCAGCTGCACAAACAGGTCTCCAGTCTCCCTGGAAGGAACCAAAGACTCTATCCTCACACAGAAGCACTCTCCTTCAGGATCTGGGGGATATTGTCATCAGTCTTCATGTAATAGTCCAGGAAAAAATATGCCATGGTACACTGGATCATGGTGAAATTCAGGAAAGACATAAGTCTCAAGAACCCAGATAAAGTCCAGGTTTGCACAACAGCAGGTCAGCATTTTGCAAGGAAGGATCCTTTGTGGTTTCTGAGTCAGCTAGAGCAGGTATTGTCAGAGTACCATGCCTGCTTTCTTATTAGCTCATGGCGGACCGGCTTCTATAGCCCACATGGCTCCTATCTAACTCCCAGCAGCCTTCCAGAATCTACCTTCACTACCAGCTGAATCATGGCTCTCTCAGGTCTTTCCTACTTCCTCCCAATCTGCATGGCTGAATCCCCTCTCATGGCTGCCTGCCTTGGTTTAAATCCTGACCCAGAGCCTTCTACATGACCCCATTTCTGACTCCTCTCACAATGGGCTACATTCTGCCAGTCCTCTGTACAGTTTACATTCTCTTGGCTGTCACCATCCTTTGTCAGCGTAGGTGTACCTCGGTGACACAGGAGAACTGCCTCCCTGCTTCTCATGAAGGTACTGTAAGCTCCCACCCCACACATCATAAGTCAAAGTCAAGTCCAGGGCATGTCCCAGGTCCTGAGGAGCAGCACAGAAATCAGCATAACTATTAAACTAGCTAAATTGCCATAGATTGCAAAGTGCCTCTCAATTGCAGTTCTCCATTTCCCCTATCCACCAAATTATGGCTGTGGAGGTTTTCTCTGACCCTTGCTCTATACCCTGTTACAGGATCACATAACTAAAACTGTTAAAACTGTCAGGAATGCCCTTCTCTCTGATGCAGGGCTGGCATTTTTTAATTATTCCCATCTCTATTAGTTTTCTATGCTATTATTTTCTCCCGTCGAGTCTGAAAAGACTACAACCCAGGTGCTGTCTGGTCTGTGTTCTCATCTGGAGTTCCTCTTCCAAGATGATGAGACTGGTTGGCAGAAGTCAGTTTCTTGCAGGTGTGGGACTGAGGTTTATTTATATGTTCTTACAGGCTGTTCCCAAGAGACTTCTCTCATCTTCTTAAGCTTGCCCTCAGGTCCTAGCCGTGCAGCTGTCTCACAATGGGCTTTTTTCCCCTCAAAGTCAGTAAGATATCCTCTTTCTACATGGTGAACATGGAAGCTTATATAACATAATGCAATCAAGGGAGGGACTATGCCAGACCCTTTGCTATATAACAGTCAGGTATTCAACTTCAGAACTAGTCTCCAAACATGTGATTCTGTGGTGTGTGGATTGTTTTGAGATCAAGGAAACCAAGGCTCTGCTGGCTCAAGAGACACTCCTGCCCTTCCCTTATCTATTGTACTTGGCAGTATTTAATTTCTGGAACTCGCCCATAAGAGATCATCAGGGATAACCTTTTTTGACCTATCTATATGGCAAAATATACATTACTGAACATCTGTTCATCTTATCCTCCTGCAATGACTTTCCTCCCCAGGGAAACCCCAAGATGGCTCCCCTACTCTTAGCTCAGAATAGCATACATGCCTCATGTAACTTTCTGCCTCTGAACCAGTCATGTATGTGAGGTCTCTGACTGTCTCATGTGTTTGGGTTTCCTCTATGTACAGATATAATTAATTATGGTTATTTTCTCTTATTAATCTGTCTCATGTATACTCAATGATTAGACTGGCTGAAAAAAAATCTTGAAGAGTAAAGGAAAGTTCTTCCCTTCCCACACAGAAGAGCACCTATGCCATCATATTCACAGGTCTCACTGACAGTGAAAGAAAAAGGCTTTTCCAGGGTGTGTGTATCAGACAATGAGAATTTCAGAGATATCTTAGAATTCTTCTTTCCAACTGAACCTATCTTTTTCTAAATTGATAAGAACAGATACTACACTTGACTTTAGCCAAAAGGCTGAGAAACAATAAACCTATCTTTTTTTAAAAATTTGTGTTTAATATTTAAAATAGCTATCACCCCATTACTTTTTTAACTGAATTGTTTAATTTATTTTCTGTTATTCCTTTTTGGATTCTAACCATTATTAGAGTAGATACCTTGTCTGTCTTTTCCACTGCTGTCTTACCATGCTTAGTGCAGAGCCTGAAATATGGAAGATATTCAATAATGTTGCATGTGTGAACATATGATTTGATTGTGGCTATAAAAATATAGCCACTGTAGGGGTGGAAAAATAATTTTCCCTTTACTTTTCTAGGTTCTTAGCTGACACTTACCCTTTAATAAAAGACAGATTAAGAGGATAAAAACAAATAGAAGTTTAATAACATGTATCTCTACTGTAACAGGGCACAGCCGAAGGGTATTTGTAATGGGATCCAGATTGGGGTGTCCAAGAAAAATATATTCTCCCCACCCCAGGGCGGGCTGTCATGGGGGGATGGAAGCCTTGAGCAGGGCCATTGAGAGTTTTGCATGTCAATAACAGGATAGCTTCATTCCTCATATGCAAAAAGAGTTATTTTTGCCTATCACCAAAGCTAATCAGGAAGGCTAAAAAAGACTTAATACAGAATGTAACTGGGAGAAAAAGAGGAGAGACAGGGACCTGCAAGAGAGAAAAAGGGTCACAAACTCTGGGGAACAGTGTGAAAACCATGTGGGAAGAAAGAGGAGAGAAAGAACTCTTGCTAGTGGGCCATGAGAAGGTGCCACATGGTTATGGATCAAGAGCTGGAGATCGCGGCGACGCAGTGGACGGTGCTGAGAACCGCGAGAGGCCTGCTTAGCCGAGCTCCGGACTTCTGTTCTTTCCTTTCTGAAGGACGGTACCCCTGACTGGCCTGACTGGCCTAACTGGGCGAAGGGGGGAAGGCAGAATGTTGTGTGTGCTGGTGATTGTTTTAAAGGGATTTTGAGGTTTAAGGGTGACATTTAGCCATTAATCAAACCTGTGTAACTTTTGAATAAGTAGTTCCTTTCCTTTTCACCAAACTCTGCCATTCAGAGCCATAATTCCAAAGGCAGTGGGCAGAGGACCCACAACCAAGGGATCCCAGGGAAGGAGAGTGTCGTTGTTTTGGTAATAGCATCTGGGCACCCCACCTCCCCCGGCCACAGGTCTTCTTGTTCGGTAACACTACTGTATAAATGGGAGGTACCCAGGAAAGTTAAGTAACTCCCCCACAATGACCCAAGTTCCCACCTTAACTATCACCTTCAACTAAAGAAAAAGAAGATATTGGGGAAGTGGGAAGGGCAGTTAATGTGAGGTTACCAGGAAAAATAGAAAAACAAAGGTAAGATTTCTATGCAGATTTAAGTCATTGCCTTTTCCATTGATAAGGAGCTTCTGGAGCTTTAGTGATTTTCCTCTTGGTATAGAGAGAGAAACATACTTAAAATGGAGTTTTCCCTCATAAATGCAAATATGTCTTACAAAAGAATAATTGCTACTTGGTGTTCAGAGATTTCCCTGTATCTGCTGTTTCTTAAGAATAACTAGCCCAAAATAATTCTCATGCCAGAGAAGTATATTTTGGGGTGGCATAGTCTGCTTCCCTTCAGCATACGTTTTGGGAGAAAAATAATTTTGTCTCTACCTTATAAGTTAACACTAAAAAAAAAAATAGATATGTGATGAAATGTGTAAGGACATAAAGCATGCATAATACAAAGTATACACACACCTACTTACATTCCTTATTAACTGGAGATATATCTATGAACAATGCTAAATTGGGAGCCATAAAGCATAAGTATAAAAGATTTGACTACATAAAATATTTCTGTACAGTGGAAAACACCATGAAAATGTTTTAAAAATATAAACTACAAATTTATAAAATATTTATTTTATATATTTATTATGTATATAATATATGGTATATAATTTTGTAACTGTGGATCCTAGTATCATAATTTTATGACCAAATATCTGGACCTTTGTTTAATTTGATCTTTGGCCCAGCTTGAGTGACTAACCATTTTGAACACTGACTCTGTCCATATGACATTCCATTGTACTCCTTGTATTCTTCATTTAACCACAAAGCTTTTATTACATGTTTATTTTACAGTCTCCAAGAAAAAAGTGATGTGTTGATCTATATCTGTGACTCCTTGCTGACCATTCTTACTGACACCCACCTGCAGCATAACCCATGACTCCAGCTGCTGATCATAAGTTAGCTAAAACTGGGAAGATGAATTGCTTCTAGCCAATCAGAAAATGTATAGTGTATACTTCTGGCCTTATTTTCCTTACCAACTTCCCTCTTAAATGTCAGCTCTTTACAGTTTTTTGCCTTTAAAAACTCTTCTCTTTTTGGAACCACTTCCAGTTCATACAAAAGCTTTGTCTCCCTGCCCTATAAACTTATTTCTTATGAATAAACTTATCTTGATTTAAGTTTCAGAGTATTGAAAATTAGATTGTTAATGGAGAAGAAATTAAGAGTTAATACTCAAATACAAACAAAAGTTTATTTAGAAGTCACAGAGGTATAAGAAGTGAGCCATGGAAGAACTGAGCCAGCTGGGCTGTGTGTGGGCTCAGAAAACAAGTTACAGAGGCAAAAAGAAGCGTGTTTGGAGCTTAGAAGAAAGAAAGCAAAGTATGTGCCTTGAGGGAAGAAAGGGGGAATGGAAGATATGGGCATGTTTGTTTATGTGTGAGAGACAGAGAGAGAGGAAGAGAGAGAGGGAGGTCATTCATTTTAAAGATTTTTAAAGGAGGTGATTTTAGGGGAGAACCTCAATAGAATATTCATCAGCTTTATAGCTGTGTTTTTTCAGGGTCATGGTCTCTACCGAATTGTTGGCACCAGGAGAGAGTCATTAGTCATTGCAGCTGGTCCTAATGTTGACCATGGTGTAGCTTTGTCTGGTTTTGCTGCTTTTCTGTGCCTAGATCTAAAACACAACTGAAGCACAGATATTTTCTTTAGTTTGACCAAAACTCCATCTCTGTGGTCAATAGACCCGAGGTTTTGTTCCTAAGATTATTTGATGGGTTAGAACTTCAGTGTCCTGAGGTATTAATGCTTAAGGAGGTGGTTGTGCAAGGGCTTATATGGGAGTCATATGAAGCTATTCTCTGACCCCCTTGTTCCTCCTGTAAGAGGATTAATTACAGGATGAGAAACATGCTAAAGGAGAGAAGGGCAATGGAGGATCTGACCTGTATGACCAGCAATATGCTAGAGGAGGAAAGGTCACACCCTGGGAGTAAGGTCCCACCCTACAAATACTTGTTGTCCCAGTTTTTTCTATTGTTAGGCATCTGTGGCTTTCTGCCCTGGTGACCTTTTGTACATGGCCTCTTATTCTTACTTTGTTCATATCTGTCTAACTGTTTACTCTATCAAGTTGGCATAAGAATAATAAATAATAAGAATATACAAAGTTTTAAGAAAAAGAGAAACATCCTAATTTTAAAAAATTGGACTAAGATCATTCATATCAAAATCTCAGAGGAAGAAATGCAGAAAACCATGGTTAATAGCATGAAAAGTGCTATAGTTTTCTATCAAGTTAGTAAATGCTATGACAGTAAGATGCCATTTTTTTCATCTTCCTATTAACAAAGGTAAAAACGATTATGCTTTTGGACATTAAGATAAAGCTTCTCAAATACCATCAGTAGAGAAGTAAATTGATACAATATTTCTGAAGAGAAATTAAGCAATCAATAATATTTCTTTTCACCTACCAATTCAACAGTGCAGAACTAATTGAACATTATTTAAAATTATTGTTCTAATAGAAAACATGAATGACAAATCATTATGGATTAAATTGCATGCTAGATTTAAAAAATGCAACATAAATCATTTATTTTATTTTAAAATAATTTAATTTATTCAATTAAATTTAAAATACTGATAATGATTTGTTTGAATGGAATGCCAGATATTTGAAATATACATATATGAAAAATCATATAAATAGATATTTATAGCTAGTTAAATATTCCCCTACTTATCTGAAAGATGAAAGAGGTTTTTGGATAATTTTATTCTAGCTCTAATATTCTTTTGTTTAATAAAAAAGATAAAAATGACCGCCTACCGAAAGTTTAAATAATCTGCTTAATGTCTTTTGAAGTTTGTATAACATAAACTCCCCTGGTTAAGTTTATTTGACAGCCTTCCCAAAGTCTAAATTTTAAGAAACTTTTTAACTAAGAAATGACTTTGAGTTATTCTAGTGGGCCCCTGAAATACCTTAAGGATTTTTTCTCTCTCTTTTATAACAGAGAAGTTTTTGAACTAATTATACCTATTTAATATACTTAAAGTATGTGGGAAGCTTTGTCAGATATGTAATAAGTATGTTCTATGTGTATATACATATTGTTATTACTAAAGTAGATATTCTAGAGATTGTATAAGTTTGATACACTCATTTGTAATTTTAGTTTTTATCTTAAAATGTTGTTGTAATAAAACAAATTCCTTTGTCAATTGCATTATAACCAAATATGTGACCATGTCATTTGAAGTTTTGTCATTTATAAGCACTCACTGTTTTCCCTTGATACATTTAGAAATATATGTCTTTGGAGGGATTCATGGAGAAGACTCTGATTTGTTTTCGATTGCATATTTCTGAGAATGGATTTTTGTATCATACCTTTGAACTGGGCGAAGACTACTAGAGCTCTGTGAAATGAACGGATTCATAGAGGTGCTTACAAATGATCAGGATAGATAGAAATTGATTATGGGACATAACTAATTGAAGACAACTGTAGGTTTTACAACTTTTTTGTTGAAAACATTGCTAATTTATAATCATCTATTTTTCAGATGTAAGAAAACTTTCTGTTTCTTAAAGCAATTTGGTAAAGTACACTTTCATAAGCAATATTGAGGCATTTACATTTTTCTCCTTACCTGATCCCTCTGAAATGTGGAAGCTCTTAATGAGTATTATTCTTTCCATAGCAATATGTTAGTTTG